TTTTATATTTTACATCCAAATCAGTTAGCATATAGTGCAACAATGATTTCAGGAGTAGATTCCTTAGTGTCCCTTACCCATTTAACCCATCCCCCCTCCCACAACCCCTCCAGTAACCCTCAGTTTGTTCTCCATATTTATGAGTCACTTCTGTTTTGTCCCCCTCCCTGTTTTTATGTTATTTTTGTTTCCTTTCCCTTGTGTTCATCTGTTTGGTCTCTTAAAGTCATCATATGAGTGAAGTCATATGATATTTGTCTTTCTCTGACTAATTTCACTTAGCATAATACCCTCCAATTCCATCCACGTAGTTGCAAATGGCAAGATTTCATTCTTTTTAATGGCCGAGTAATACTCCATTGTATATATGTATACCACTTCTTCTTTATCCATTCATCCACCCATCGATGGACATTTGGGCTCTTTCCATACTTTGGCTATTGTTGATAGTGCTGCTATAAACATGGGGTGCATGTGTCCCTCCGAAACAGCACACCTGTATCCCGTGGGTAAATGCCTAGTAGTGCAATTGCTGGGTCGTAGGGTAGGTCTATTTTTAGTTTTTTGAGGAACCTCCATACTGTTTCCCAGAGTGGCTGTGAGAGCTTGCATTCCCACCAACAATGCAAAAGAGATCCTCTTCCTCTGCATCCTTGCCAACATCTGTTGTTGCCTGAGCTGTTAATGTTAGCCATTCTGACAGGTGTAAGGTGGTATCTCATTGTGGTTTTGATTTGTATTTCCTTGATGATGAGTGATGTTGGGCATTTTTTCATGTGTCAGTTGGCCATCTGGATGTCTGCTTTGGAGAGGTGTCTATTCATGTCTTTTGCCTATTTCCTCACTGGATTATTTGTTTTTTGGGTGTTGAGTTTGATAAGTTCTTTATAGATTTTGGATACTAACCCTTTATCTGATATGTCGTTTGCAAATATCATCTCCCATCATGTCGGTTGCCTTTTAGTTTTGCTGATTGTTTCCTTTGCTGTGCAGAAGGTTTTATTTTGATGAGGTCAATAGTTCATTTTTGCTTTTGTTTCCCTTGCCTCTGGAGACGTGTTGAGTAAGAAGTTGCTGCGGCCAAGGTCAAAAGGTTTTTTTCTGCTTTCTCCCTGAGGATTTTGATGGCTTCCTGTCTTACATTTAGGTCTTTCATCCATTTTGAGTTTATTTTTGTGTATGGTGTAAGAAAGTTGTACAGTTTCATTTTTCTGCATGTCGCTGTCCAGTTTTCCCAGCACCCCTTGAAGAGACTGTCTTTATTCTATTGGATATTCTTTTCTGCTTTGTCAAAGATTAGTTGTCCATACGTTTGTGGGTCCATTTCTTGGTTCTGTATTCTGATCCATTGATCTGAGTATCTGTTTTTGTGCCAGTACCATACTGTCTTCATGATTACAGCCTTGTAATACAGCTTGAAGTCTGGGATTGTGAGGCCTTCTGCTTTGGTTTCCTTTTTCAAGATTGCTTTGGCTATTCGGCGTCTTTTCTGGTTCCATACAAATTTTAGGATTATTTGTTCTAGCTCTGTGAAGACTTCTGGTATTATTTAGATAGGAATTGCATTGAATATGTAGATTGCTTTGGGTAGTATTGACATTTTAACAATATTTGTTCTTCCTATCCAGGAGCATGGAATCTTTTTCCATTTTTTTTGTGTCGTCTTCAATTTCTTTCATAAGCTTTCTATAGGTTTCAGTGTATAGATTTTTCATCTCTTTGGTTAGATTTATTCCTAGGTATTTTATGGTTTTTAATACAATTGTAAATGGGATCTATTCTTTGATTTCTCTTTCTGTTGCTTCATTGTTGGTGTATAGGAATGCATACGATTTCTGTGCATTGATTTTATATGCTGCAGCGTTGCTGAATTCATGAATCAGTTCTATGAGTTTTTGGTGGAATCTTTAGGGTTTTCCATATAGAGTATCATGTCATCTGCGAAGAGGGAAAGTTTGACCTCCTCCTGGCCGATTTGGATGCCTTTTATTTCTTCGTGTTGTCTGATTGCAGAGGCTTCCAATACTATGTTGAATAACAGTGGCGAGAGTGGACATCCCCATCTTGTTCGTGACCTTTGGGGGACAGCTCTGTTTTTCCCCATTGAGGATGATAATAGCATTGGGTCATTCATATATGGCTTTTATGATCTCTAAGTATGCTCCTTCTATCCCTACTTTCTTGAGGGTTTTCATCAAGAAAGGATGCTGTATTTTGTCAAATGCTTTCTCTGCATCTATTGAGAGGATCATATGGTTCTTATCCTTTTCTTTTTATTGTGTGATCAGTCATATTTAATTGTTTTGTAGATATTGAATTGGCATCCCAGGTATAAATCCCACTTGGTTGTGGTGAATAATGTTTTTAATGTATTG